GTTCTCCAACCGTCCATGGTATATCGCCAATTTTGTCGCCAAATATGGCAAACCTGCCTTCCCTTGCCATTTTATGGCAACCCTAAAACTGCTTTGCGTGGAAGCTATCTTACCGCACCTGTACAATTCGTAGCAATATTATTTCTTTAAAAGGAACGTACATTCCAATTTTTCTACGTAGTGATATTAGAATTACAGTATATAATTCAATATCTAATAAGGTATCTTCATTTTTACTTCTCTGTAACTTTTTATTGTTGTCTCTATTACTTCTGAAGCCCAAAATTATCACCATCTTGATTGGAGATGGTGAATATGCAGCTTACTCAGTGAAACTTGGTCTGAATGTCAGTTTGCGTTTGCTTCGCCGTGACTGGTCCGTTTTTAAGGTTTTTTATGTTAACCAACCAGCTATTTTTGCTTTGGGTATTTACCGTCATTTCTCTGTTCCGTTTTCTCGCCAGGATGCAAATTATTCGCGAGTATTTATAGTAAAAGTAAGTTTATAGTGAGTTTCAAAGACAGAGCACTCTGCCTCTCGAGGCGCGTTACTGAATTGCTAGATGAGATTAGATTAGAAGTCTTCGGCTTTGTAATATAATTGTTGGTACTGAATCTCCGTTCCGGTTAAGCTGAGCCAATTTTCCGTTGAACTGATTTGTGTAGCCTTTGAAGTTTTGTGGTTCGAGATGAGAGTAATAACGTACGATATCAATAAGTTACCACCGAGCTACTTCATTGTGCTTAAAATATGAATGTAAATTTCTTATTAATAGGTATGAAATACGCAAGAGTATTCCAAATAATATCAATTTGTAAGAAGCGAAATAGAGTAAATCCTTATTATGGTTAGCCATATTAAATGAAAAACGTCTTTAATATAAAATTCTTCCTATTCATGCATTTAACTCCAAAGAGTGGGCTATAAGTTTTATTTCTTTCAATATCGCTTCTAGACATGTATTACTTACTTCATAATTTCTCAAAATAAGAGAGAGAATTCTATGAAAACAGTTTTAGTGCTGCTGGGAAAATCCTGTCTGTTGAATATAAAATAAAATTTTTAAGCATTCTTCGACATGATGCAAAAAAAAAAAAAAAAAAAATCCATTTAGTTAGACAAAAACGCAATATTCTGTATTTGTACACGAAAAATTAGCGGAAATATTGCGGAAAAAATTTGTTAACTTAAATCACATTTTCCATGGAAACGAATTCAAGACATTTAGATAAAATTATAAGAACAATTACAGAATGAAAGTTGAATTTTTAATCATTATTGCTTCTATCTTAATAAAAATACTGAGTTCCAGTTAAATTTATCAACTCAGCGCTTGAAAATGCTGTTTTTAACAAATTTTTCTGAATTCTGTCCGTGAGGATGCGAATTAAAAATCTAATGGCATTTTACTAATTAATGTTATGCTTTATATGAACTACATAAAATTCTAATCTTCACATCTATAGAATGTTGGTGAAACTGTTTCCACAGAACATTTTAAGGAAAACACAACAAAAACAATACATACACACAAACACACACTATATATATTGTTACGTTCTATGGTTTCGTGGATTTGGAGAAACTGATGATAACACTTGACGAAGAATCAAAACACAATTTATTCGCCAGTAAGCACTGTTACGCAGTACAGTTCGAAAGACACGTTTACAGTCGTCGAAAAGCTACAATAAACACACTGAAATAATGAGTAACACAGCCTTCAGGCTATAACAGTAAAGGCAGCTTCACGGCAAAGCGCTAAAGTACAACTCCCGAATCAGTCGATCGGTCTCCACCTAATCTCTGAACTCAACTCCGCTACTACTTTCTCCGCGTATAGGTAGAGTATATATATTTTTAACCTACCTTCGAGAATGTTCCCGAGAACACCGCTAAAAGAGCGTTCTAGAATGTTCTAACTTCGTCTATGGCATATCGCCAATTTTGTCTATAAAAGTCGCCAAATGGGTGATTTCGTGCAAAATGTGGCAATCTTGCCTTTTCAAATGTGGCAGCCTTGCCTGTATTTTAGATTTTTAGAAGGTAAGACAGAACGATAAGTCGTTTATCTCTCTTTAAGATACAAAGGGTTAATATTTAAAGCAATGTGGAACTCTAGATCTTTGTAAATATGCATCTTTATGGGCGTGATAATAAATTGGTTTACTTCAAACTTTCATCTGAGTTTGTAATTACTGTATTTTAGATTTTTAGAAGGTAAAACGGAACGATAAGACGTTTGGCTGTCTTTACAGTTCAAAGACTTAAACCAGTGTAGAATCGTACATCACTGCTAATATTTATCTTTATTCTCATTGCACATATAATAAACAATAATAAGCAATGTAGCGCAAACATAAATATGAATGGGGATTTTATCAATAATAAAAGAGTAAAAATATAAAAGGTTCATGCAGTTATTGTCAAGTTGTAAAGTTGTCGAGCTGATTAATTGAAACAAGAAATGAAGAATCCCAATACACGCGGACTCCTCAATACTCCTCGGCCCTTAGTAACAGGAATAACTAATCGGGAATTCGAAAGCTTTGGTGAGATTACAAAACCCCGTTTTTTTCTCCTCCTTATTTGTAGAGGCCTGGAAACGGGATGGCGTTGACACTCAACCGAGGAATAATTCATGAGTTTCGGATCGGTGAAACTGAAGTTATAGTAAAATAATCAATAATAGATTTCCTTCGGGGTGTTCGAAGTATATACTTTTAAAAATTTCGCTTCTATTAGAAGAGGAAAATTTATATAAATTTAAAATTGACACTTATATAGATTAATGAACAGTATACTTAGTTGCACAAACTTCCTAAATTAGCTGCATGTGTGGCTTTTCTGCGTTTTTTTTTTGCACAAGATTTTCGCACTGATTAAAAAATTACCCTTTTTCCCCCCTCCGCAGTCCCAGAGGACGATTAAAGTAACAAAACACCTAAAAAAGATGAAAATAACCAGATCGTTCTTCTTAAAAAAATATTTTTGCTGTGCGAGAAAAGTGAATCTTTAAAAGCAGAGTAAAGAACAAATTTGAGGTACGGGAAAATTGAAACAGCGAACGGTAAGGTATTAAAACAAATCAATTTTAAAATTTATTAAAAATTCGAATTTTGTGATTGAGAAATCTTTATTCGAAACACGAATTTAAGTATCATTGTTCATTGATGGTTATGTCATTAAAAAACTGCTTTACATAGGAAAAATTTTCTACTAGTGTAAAACTTTGTGTAAACAAAATTATCAAAGATTTCAACAAAGCATGAAAATTTTAAAGCAGTGTATCTGAAGGGAGTCTCTGCCATTCTAGTCAGAAACTAATGTAGGCGTAGAGAATACTCCGGCAGAAGATCATTAAATTGGAAACTTGCAGTTATTTATTAAATATTAGAAGTCTACAATTTTATTATGTGGCTTCTGTAAATATTCCTGCAAAAAATCCAATTATGTTAATTTGTAGAAACGTTAGGTTTATCTGAATCAGGAGACGTCAAAAATGTACCTCACCCTCCCCGGGACTCGAAACAAGAACCTCTTGAATATGGATCGAGTACGCTTCCTATATACCACGAAGGCACGAGAAAGAAGGAAGAAAGTACCTTATATACTCCCCCTTTTAAAGGGCGACTGGGGATTAGGGGACCTAACCGCCAAATCCTGGTGGTGACGAATTATTGCCCACCACTTTTTAGTTCGGCCGCCACTGTAGAGCCATATGGTTATTTTGAAGCAGGATCTGTAGAATACGTGTGGTGTAGGCTTCCAGTTACACCACGAAAGCATGCGGGAAAAAGGGAAAAAGTGATTTATAAATTTATATCATGCGTTTTCTAACTTCATCTGGGGGATGTTGTTTTAACAGTGCAAAAGTAATAATAGAATAGAGTTTAATACTTTTGTTACGATAGATGCACTTTTTTTTTTGATAATATAATAGAAAATTTTATTTATTTGTTTATGAAATGCCAGCCTGTTGGCCACTTGGTCATTAGGTCACTTTCCGATGTTTTTCCACAAGACAACTAAAATTCATTGCGGAACATTCATCAATGTGAGCAGCGGTCATGTTTGCTTCGGTTAAACACAAAATACACACAGAAGAGTCGACAATATTGGAACGAAATAAATGGGCATGAGGACAGACGTGTCCAGTCAGCAGATTCAAAGTGTTCACCGCAGTTATACGAGGAGCTTCGGGAACTAGTTCCGAAGACACTCCAGGAGATAAACTTGGAGAGCCGGCGGAAACTATAGCAGATTTTGCGTTACCCAGGGTGCGACACAAGGAGGCCTGCTACGTTACACTCAATTTAAAGGAAAATAAATTGTTTAAAACATTAATGGCATACCCAGCGTTACCACACTCAGTGAGGTAAAGATCTGCCTTGTGAATCCATTTATTAGTATGACTGGAAAGAGCTGCACTATAGGTGCCTGAGTGTCTTTCAAGGTACTATATGACATTAGGGTCAAACTGAGGTCTGCTGCATAGTATTAAAATATCATAGCGTCAATTCAAAGACGCTGATGATATTTAGAACTATTTCTTGGTATAAGAGCTCACTGCTTCCCGAAGCTTAAGGCAGCAGACTTTATTTTACGTGAAATATATTCAAAATTGTATTATATTTAAAAGGGGTTCTTATAAAAATGAGGCTCTTTCATTTTTAATAAAAGCAAATTAACTATCATTACCCGAAAACGTACGTTATCTGAAATCACTGCTTCTAGGTAGTTCTGATAATGGAGTATATGACGAAGAAAACTCAAGATTTTTAATGCAGTAAATCTGATCTGTAACGTTTTTTTTTTGAAGTTAAATATTTAATGCTGAGACATAAATAAAAGAAATGTATATCTGATATCTTACTGCTTGTCTTATTGTCCAAAAGTATCCTTGTCGTTATATCTGTTAATAAAGAAAATAACACGGATACATAGTTACTTCCTTATACGAAGCAAAAGAAGTATTGAAATAGCAAAAAAATTTCAGGTACCATATTTCAACGGAAATATCCAGTTTGACCATTCCCGAATCCATTGGGATGATTTTCTGCTTGGCGTCTGAACGTACGGACAGAATGAAGGATTTTTCCAAAACGGATCGTAAAATGGATGCAAGAGCGATTTTTTCCGGACGTCTGTACGTACGTATGTATGTAGTTATGTTTTAACATCGAAATTTTGTGTATGAAACTGCTAAAACATTTAGTTGGGCGCATGTCCTTTTTCAATGCAATCGACGGTACCAAACATACGTACCCCTTTGTCGGGCTTTAAGGTTCGTACCCGGCCCTTATTTTCACTATCGTTGGTCGTAGTCGTATACTTCCAATTGTAGAAGTGTCTCAAATGACGAAAATATTAATGTGCCAAATTAAAAATATATATATATATATTTTCGAGAAATAACCAAATCTAATTTTTAACGCGATCTCCTAATTCCTATACTTATGTTTGAGAAAGTTTTGCTCTCCTTATGAAACAATGAAATAGTAAGAAGTTTGACTCCGTGCGATAAAAATTGACCAGGATATTTAATTTCAAAATTTGTGATTTTTGATGTTATTTTCAATTTGCCTCTAGGGATCGATTAATTAGAATAATTCTAGGGATAAAGTTTAGACGAAGTGCAGCAAAACTGTGTATAATTTAATAAGCCGTACAAGGAAGTCATTTGATATCTATACCAGATTTTTCTTTGAAGAAAAACTAAGGATTTACAAAATTTTGCATTTATCTTAATTGCATCCTACTTTAGTTAGGGGACAATTCATTCGGCTTAGAATCTCTGAAGCGTTTGTTTTTATAGTACTGAAGCATTAATTACAATTTTAGAGAGCTATTTCGGATTAGTCCTATTTTCTGATAATACATTAAATTAATAATCAGGAATCCTTTATATAAGCATCCAATAGCACACTGCTATACTGCATCATTAATATACTTTTATTAATCCGAAATTTACATTTTCTGCTTGGCCACTTGCCGAAGCCCAAGTTCAGTATCATACCTATGTGCGGGGTTTTTAGTTGAAATCATTTTTAAGCGAAATATTTGTTAAACTTTATAAAATAATTGAACAGCTACATTATTAACATCTAAGGTAAATGTTTACTCAATAATTTTCTGAATTCTTTTTAATTTTGGAAAATAATGGCAGTGTTTATCATGATCATAACTGAAATCTTGAAACGTTTGTTGTACAATGAAACCTCTCACTCGACCAACGTTTTTTCTTGAAGTCGTCAGATTTTCTGAGAAACACCAAATCCAGTAGAAGCAATGTTTACACAAAAGACAAAACTAAAGACAAGTGTAGGACAGTTTTTTGCAATTTACTGCCTGTGTTTACATTTGGCAGGTCTGGAAAGCACGACTAAGTTGTGGCGAGAGCAAGAGAGAAAAGCTTTGCGTACTGAGAAGGTGGGATATTTATAAGCTCGGCTGATTTGTTTCATTTTTGGAGTCATTAGGTTATTTTAAGGTAAGAAGGAGATGTGAAAAATGTGCAGTGCCCTGGCTGGGACTTGAACCCTGGACCCCTGGAATACGCGTCGAGTATGCTTCTAGTTACACTACGAAGGCATGCGGAATGGAAGGAGAAAATATCTTATATACTCCCCCTTTCAAAGGCGACAGGGGATTAGGGGACCCAGTGCCCAAATCCTGGTGGTGAAGAATTATGTCCATCACGTTTTTAGTTCAGGCGCCACTGTAGAGTCATTAGGTTATTTTGAAGCAAGAGACATGAAAAATCTGCAGTGCCCTGCCTGGGACTCGAACCCTGGACTTCTCGAATGCGCGTCGATTGCGCTTCCAGTTACATGATGCAGAAAGGAGGGAGAAAGGTATGAAGAAAGTATGGAGAAAATACCTTATACTGTTTTAAATGGTGGTCGGATAAAAGCTCATAGCACTGCGGAGTACTGCAGGCGAAACTAACGAAGTAAGCGAAGCATTAGTGATTTTTTTAAGTGGGGTTTAGGCAAATAAAATCAGGAATTCAAATTATGTGAGTAATTTACAATTAATTTTTTAAAATTTTATATCTTACATATATATATACAGATATTCGTAATAGATTGTCTAGTAGAACGCAGGTGATTGTATCCACAATGAACAGCTAGAATTTTGATGCAGTAGAATGCTGAAACGCCGATCCACAAGAAATATGAAATTTAGCAAGCAAAGTATATTTAATTTTGCCTTTATTTCAGTGAGCATGTTGTGGACACAAACAAGGTGGCACATTTATTGTGCCTATTCCAAAAAGCTTATATGTTTGATAACTTTGTGGCAAGAAGACAGCAGCAGACAGACGACAGTCCAGCTAAGACAAAGCGTTGAAAGCAAGTGCGTTATGTTGAAAGTGAAATCTTAATTCAGACTGAGTTAGTTTTGGTTCTCACTGCATTTTGATTAGATGTTTAATATTGCTGTAAAATTACTATTGGCTGTTTGAGTTTTAGTTTCATTTACATCATTAGAATTATGTAAGATTCCTATGACATAGATTTTCCTCGAAATGACTCAGTGCAAATAGAGGTTACTATTTTTAGAATACTAATGGGTAATTTAATGGTAATTCTCTGCTAATTTAATCGTTTACATATTCTTTATTTTTCTTGCATATATATATATATGTTGTATGAACTTAAATCCATTTAGTGCGAATACAAGTTATTATTACTTGCGCAATTGCTGCAAAGTTAGTTAATAATAATTTATTTCATAAACTTAGGAGATAATATAATCAATTAATCAATACTGTTTATGAAATAAATTATATATATATATATATATATATATGAAGAGAGAGCTTAGGTTTGTTTTCTAGAATCGCAGTAATCATTGAAATGACTTTAAATTAATTTAATTTAATAACCTAATGGCTAATTTGTAATAATTAGATTAATAACCTAATGACTTAAGTAAGCAACAATATCACAGTCGTTTTAACATTATGTATGATAATTTTTCTTCTAAAAAACGCTTAATGGAAAGTACTTATAAAATAGTTCTTCAGTATTGATTGCAAAAGCATATGCAGCATATAGCAGCACAGTCGAACTCCAAATACCAGGACTAAGTGGGCTATAATTTATTCGGATATTCCTCAAATACTGTTATTTAACCTTTTTTTCCCTCTAGGGTAGACAAACATTTGTAGTTATACAAATGAGAAAATTTTAACTTTTTTTATCACATTTCACTTCAACAAAATCTTTCAGTTAAAAGAATAAAACATTTTATATAAAACAAAACGCAGTTTTATTAACAAATGTAAAAAAAAAGGAAAATAATACTTAAATATTAATTATTAATGATCATGTTTTTCGCTATATGTACATGAATACGAGCCAGGTTTCCTTAGAAAGTTCTCAATGAAAACCCAACCCATTTAGGTAATTGATTCTCGTGTGCTCTGGATTATTCAATTACATAAACAAAGTACCTTAAATTGACGGAATATCTTAGTTTAGAACATAACACTGCAACTATATCTGGACCAGGCATAATTGAGTGATGCTAATTTTTAGATACGCAGACTTAAATGCTTCCAGATAAAATATTCCACAGAAAAGTAACCTCGACCGAATTCGAACATGACATAAAAAATTATGAGTAAGAACCCAAGCTTTTATTTTTCTTCTAATATTTCATCGCGAGATGAAACATCCACTTAACTTTTCTTATTATCGTCTGAAGAAAGGATTGTTTGCTCTGCGTTATTTTACATGAGCAAAAGGCCATAATTGAAAAGATGCGTATTCTTGCGACTTTATAAATCATACTGCTCATAAACTATCAAAAAATTAGGACGGCTGTGTTGATAAGTGTAGGACGTGACCTAGTTGGTTTGTTTTTAACTTGTTAAAGAACGGATCTGGTATCGTTTGAATACATATATTCTGTTTTATTTCCATTAGCTTTGTTTTGTTTGTTATCTGATAAAGTATAGAGATGACCTCTTTCTATCCCTAAGATTTATGCTAAAATTTAACACATCAGGAGAATCCTTGTGATTTTTATATTATTTATCGTGATATTCAGTTTGACTAGGTTCTCGTTTCTTTACATTGACCAGTATTCAAATTCCTTCCGACTAAATAATTTTTTGTACTGTTACATTACAAAAATTAATTAATTTACAAATTCTTTTCGAGATCAAAGTCTGAATATTAAGAGCAGTATTTTCCATACAGACATTTAAAACTTATTTAACAGCCATTAAAAACACAATGACTTAAAAATTAAATAGGGAAATTAAAAATACAACTAAATTCTTTAGAATCGTATACAGCAGTGGTCTCAAACTGGCCGCATGCGGCCCCCGAAGTAATTTTATGCGGCACGCGAATTCCAATTATGAGTTTGTTCCAAACACAGTGTTACAAAGATTTCAAGATTTTTATTATTAGAAGTCGGTGTTTACATTATTTTCTTTACTATTAAAAACCAACGTGAATAACGCATCCGAAAATGTATAAATGGAGCTAACTAATTTACGATGGAATATAAATCTTAATCAAAGATTTGAAGACACACACTTTATAAACTTTTATTCGTACTTGTGAAAAAACAAGTAAGTTCAGTTACGAACTTTTGCACTAAAAATAATCCCCTTTTTTATTTCCAATGGCAGATTGTGAACAGTTACAGCAAAAAACAAGAACAAAGAACACAGAATACAGCAACAAATTATTAAAAAAATGCTGTAACAAAGTCCATTAGTCTGACATATGTCTTGTCTCCCAGTGACGCTCGGCGAGGAAAGTCTTGCGCAGAGCAGAAGAGTAGAGAAGATGTGCGGCGTCCATCACCTCTCCAGAGCTGCACAGAGTGCATATTAGAGAAAGAAAAATTTTGAATCCATTGAGATGATATCATAGGCAGTCATATCCTGTGGCAAGGCGGAATTCAGCGACTGCTCTACGCCTTGGGCCATTACATAAATTTGGGATAGCATCAGAGGAGGAGGAGACATAATGCCAGTTGTAGATCTTTTAGCCACTACGAAGTGTTACCAGGTGCACCACGAGGAGGTAGATCTACAGCGCAACCAATAATAAGCCCTTTGTTCAGGAATACATTTATTCAGGTTGTAGGGTCTCATAGAGAAACTTGTGTCTGAGAACTGGAGTAGGAAGAAACTACACAAGAGAAGGGTTAAAATACCCTTTATTAAATCTGAGAATTTACAATGCGTCAACTTGACGCTAGCAAACTTCGCTTCTGCTTGGGCGGTAACTGAAAGTCAGATAATTGAAACTAAAAGTTGAGATAGTATTAACAAGAGATAGAACTAACCTATAGGGATCAGCGAGATCCCGTAACTTAAACCCCCTTCGAAGCTAGTGGCAGCAGATAAATGCAATTTAAGCCACTTGAACCAGAAATAAGCAAACGTACCTAAGGCAGAGACGGCAGCTAGAGTCTAACTCTCCTTTCTCCTACCGAAACTCGGCTTTTAACTACTTCCTTCAAAACAGAAAATTTGCATTCGTTCACGCACGCTAGAACATTTAACTATTCTGGCACTGACAATTAGGGGAATGAAGGCTTAGAGAAAGTCTGAATTTAAAATTTTAATTGTTAGTAAAAATAAATATAAATCCCTACAAGGGTTCATCTGGAATGTAGAAGGACTGAATTTTCTTTAAAAATGTATTCACAATTTTGACACATTGACTCAATAGTTTTCAAAATATGCCCCTTCTGCATCAACACAGCGTTTCCAGCGACTCTGCCAATCAATGAAGACTCTCTGGAACGCACAACCTGGAATGCTCTTCAGCTTCCTCGTTACGGTCTCTTGAATGCCTGGACCGAGCCCCAGAGCCGTCCTTTCACGACCCTTTTCAGTCGGAAGAAACGGAAGAAGTCTGAAGGAGCGACATCTGGGATGTAGGGTGGCTGGAGAAACTGTGTGATGTTATGTTTGGTCAGAAAGTCCAGGTGTGGCTCGGCGCATCGTCGTGATGGAGCCTCCATGATCTAGCGATTGCTGGATGGACGCGGGCGACTCGTTTTCTAAGTACAGGCATAGCCCAGATGTCTCTCCTTTATACTTCTTCCCCCGACTGGAAAGGGTCGTGAAAGGACTGCACCACGGCTCGGTTCAGGCCATTTAAGAGGCTGTAACGAGGGAGCTGAAGAAAATTCTAGTTCCTGTGTTCCGGAGAGCCTTCAGTGATTGGGAGAGTTGCTGGAAACGCTGTATTGATGCAGAAGGGGCATATTCTGAAAACTAATTAAGTCGGTGTGTCAAAATTGTGAATAATTAAAAAACAAAATCAGTTCTACTATGCGAAGAACCCTGTATGTAAGCGGCTTTTTTCACAGTTGATAATTAATAAGAAAATAACCGGATTGAACGATGAGCATCTACAATCCGGGATGATGTCTAGTAATTTCTCTCTATGGCTACAAACGTTATCAGAAACGAAACGCCATTAAGTGTGAAGATGTAGTAAGTAATAAAAGTTTATAATTATTAACTTACAAACATATGTATTTTTATGTTTGCTTCCAAGGAAAATTTAATAAACAAGAGAAAGTGAATAAGATGTCATTATTTACTCTCAAATTTTGCCCCATTTGGAACATTTTCTCTGACAAGTTGAAGTTTTCGTAATTTCTTTCAGTTTAAAAGCAAGTTTAATAAGATTTAATTAAATATATTAGAACTATTTTAAATAAAGTTCAGTCTGAAGGTTTAATATTTAATTGATAATATATTTGTTTTACAAAGTGTAACCAAACAAAAGTCTTGCAGTTACCAAACTTTGGATTTCAGATATGAAAATAAACATAAGTTTGAATCTCTTTTTCTGTCGTGATATTATTATTACTATATATATATGTTTTGGAAAATACTTAGAGAAAGTTAAGTAATAGTAGTAATTTAATCACTAATAGTAGTGAACAACCTAAATAACAACAGAAAGACGGTAAATATTTCCCATAACATATATGTGACTGTGAAATAAATATGTACATGTAGGCACTTAATGTAGTATATAATACAGATATTAATGAGCTTGACAGCTTCCATGACGCGTTTCAGCATGTCTTGTGAAGTAAAGTATACTTCGATTGACATAAATTTTAAGGCCATCAGTCAACTGTAAATGCTTTGCAAAGATTCTGTCTTTCAGGTAACCCAAGGAAAGATCTTCGATGCTGTTAAATATGGATAGCGGATGGCAAAGTCCAATCAATCACGAAAGCCGGAAATCAGACCATTTGGAAACGTCTGTCGGAGTACAATCGAACTTTATCCTGCCGTTAAACGCAGTGTTGCCTAAGCAATAGTGCGATATTGGCTATTTTTGACAAACGTATGATACTAAAATTTATGGATATGTGATTTGGTGAATTCTCTGCTTCTCCATCAAATGTGCATATGTTAATATTGTAGCAATTAAAATTTATTTACAATAAAATGTAATAATTTAATTAGGCTGAAAGAAAAGCTGGCAACTGACAATCTACGATCGTGGCCCATGAGCGCAATTTTCAATACTAGTCCCTGTTGCTTCCACGTCTTCAATGATTGTTTTGGCTTAATATTTTGGTGATCTGTGAGTAGAAAAGTATGAGTCAGGGTACAGCTGTTGTGTTAATTAATCCCCGAATTATGAATAACGTAAAAAAATACAACATCAGTCCCGTCTTCTTTGGTAACATCGAATGTACGAAACTTAAGACCTTAACTGAACTAAGTACGACAGAGACTGTAAAAGAGTGTAAAAGACCCTTTTAAATAACTAAAAACAGAAATGAACAGGAGATTCCATTTGTGATCACAGAAGCCATCAAAGATAATGAATTTGACTTAACTAAGTAAAGTTAACCCTCTTAGCGTTATGGACGAAAAATTCGTATAAAAACAGGTGACTTTCATATTCATTACATATGAAAATTTCTGTCAGATTTTGATGAATCCGACTTCGGGTTGGATGTGTATTGAAAGAAAAGGTATAAAGTGAGAGAGTCATTCTTTCTACTTTTTGATTTTTTCTCTTGCTACATTAGCTCAAAATTTTCTGGCAGTGCTTTTGGAACTAAACTGTATGCACCAATCGGAGCGTGTGTGACAGATCTTGTTTGAGGGAAAACTTCTACTCCGCGATTCGAAGGTAACTGCGCTTACCGAAGTCGAGATTATATCAGTTGTTTGACCCCTAGTTCTCTACGGATGTGGGGACGCCATACATGTCCATGTGCATTATGTTAGTTTGCCAACTCAACTTGACATATACAGTTTGTTACATTGTGTAATATTGCCCCAAGACCCTTATAACTCAAAAAAAAGAGTCAAAAGCAATATTAGTCCAAGAATCGCCATCAACAACAGCAGGATTAAAACCATGAAATAAACTACCCGGATCGAATACTGACTTAGACTCCCCACTTTAAGGACCTTAAGTAACTTACTCGCCCCATACTGCGCAAAAACTCTGACATTTAGGAAATAATTGGGGGACTAAATTCGCACATTCAAAAGATTCTCTACTTAACTGTCATAGAAAGAATAGTTACATACGCTGATCCAATCTGGGCTCAGCCGATGCAAGGGAGAAAAGCAAAATATCTTCTCAGCGTTTAACTCCCATTTGCGCTCAACATTACAAGGGCATTTCGCACAACAGCAACTGCATCGGTTAATGGACAGCAGAGCTAATACCATTGTATATTTGTGGTGAGTAAGAAGCAGTAATCCAATCTGTATTTCATCTTCGCACTCCCACAAGCTTCTTAGATGAGTGGCATTATTCAAATAATCATGCAGTGCCAGCTATGATGCTACACGTTCACCCAGAAGTTAGTTGTAAACATACATCTGCACCACCATAACTTTTCCAGCAACAACACTCCGACTATATACACTGATAACTCACGTATGGAAGACAAAGTTGATAGTGCACTAGTTCTTCAGCATGGAGAAGAAACCTTACATCTAAAGGAACTAATAAGGAATAATAACATAGCGTTTCAGGCAGAAGCAAAACAGAGCTGTCCAGTTCATCAGACAGCGAAACCTACAGGACATCACCATAAATACAGACAGCACGTTAGTACTTCTGTCCATACTATGACCACATATCCCCTATAGTTCCAGAGAAGTACCACATCCAAAGAATTACGGAGGCGTCAACATATATCATGCTCTCCTGAGTGAAAGCGGATTGGGTGAGTGGAAACGAAATTGCTGACAGAGTAGCCAAGAAGGCAATTTCAGGAAGTATTCATTATCCACAACCAGCCTCGCTCATACTTGAAGAAACAATTAAAACGCAAATCATAAATCAAATCACAAACAGTGGGATTTCCGCGGATAAAGCCAAATTCTTTTCTGAATGAGGAATTATGAAGCTCAAAAGCAAACAGTTACCGAGCAAAACGGACAATATTGTAACGGAATGTCAAGGCGCGGCTTCCCCGCAAAGCAGTATTAGGGTAGCCATAAAATTTCAAAGGAAGGCAGGGTTGTCACATTTGGCGATAAATCGCCCATTTGGCGATATTTGGCGATAAAATTGGCGATATGCCATGGACTGATGGAGAACCTTCTGGAACGAATTCTTACCAGTTTAGCCCAGAATGTTCTCGAACACAAGCCAAAAGCTATATATATACCCTGGTGGTCTGCAGTCAGTTAGTGTGCGTCTCTCATCGAGAGTGTGTGCGCTTCATCGAGAGAGCGAGTGTGTCTGCCTCGCATAAAGTGCGAGAGAGTCAGTATCGAGTTGATGTCTCATCTAGCGAGTCAATCCCTGCGGAGTCGATCGAGTCGACAGCCGGGCAGCGAGTGGCGAGTGGATCGTCGAGTGCACCGAAGGAGTCTGTTAGTGTATCGCGGTTAGTGCATCGTCGAGAGAGCGTGTTGAGCTCCGGGAACGACTGAACCGAAGAGTCGGGAGCTGTGCTCGTGTGTTGTCAAGCACATCGCGAGTTGTAGCGTGGAGAGTCTCGGGAGTACGTGGAGTTCCAAAGAACGACCAAGCAGAGTCGGGAGCGGTACTCTGGAAAGCAGAGTCGGGTGCTTTGCAGGAAACTGTCTCCACCGTGATAGCCTGATAACCTGAAGGCTGTGTTGCTGATCGTGTCAGCGTGTTTATAGTAGTTCATCGACGACTTTAAAACGTGTTTTGGAGCTGTCCTGATAATACTGGCTAATAAAGTGTGTTTCAACACTTCATCAAGTGCCGTCGTTATTCACTCCAAATCTACGAACCCCCGAACGTGAAGGAAGAAAAATAACGTAACAACTGGTGTCAGGAAGAGAAAAACGAAACAATATGTTACTGATTGTTTATTGTTTTGTCTTAAACTGTCTTTAAATGCACTTTTGACACTCGTATGCAACCTACAATGTAATAAAGTATGTTACACGTTTACATGTCTTCCATAGCATCGAGACAAGCAGAGAGTCTACTAGTATCAATACTGAAACGAAGTAAGTAAATTCCAAAATTCCCATAACCGGTCAAAATATGAGTAAGTTTATAATCCGCTTGAAAATGCCTACTCTTAAGGCGTTGAAAAACAGTTGGGAAAAATCTTTTTCTCCACTGGGTCTTCGAAGAAGTAAGATATTCAGCATTGTAAATTTCAGAAGTGTAAGATAATACAAATCATTAAAATTGTTTAAAAAGGTAATAGAATAATAGAAATAGAAATACAGAGAATAGAAACTGTTAAAATTGTTTAAAGAAACCATTTACCTCAAAATGAGATTAAGAGGACATATGACATAAAAATTTTCAGGTCTTCAATTTTGCACTCAAAAACAAAGTAGACTGAGGCGATTCTAAAAATATACAATTTAAGCATGTTTCGAAATTTTAAAAAAACCGAAGTCTTTCATTAAAAAGTGTAAACAAACACTGAATCTCCCGCCAGTTTAAAAGGGACAGGTATCTGGTGGGGGCTACAATAAAGCCATATCAGCTGGTAAAAAATATGTGTATGAACATTCTTTGGCAGAACCAGTTTTATTAGTTGTTAAAAGTGTGTGTTTTAGTGAACTGTTTTAGTGAGTGTCATTCAAACCAGATTTGTTAGATGTGGTAATATGTTTTAATGATGGTGTACAAAGCCGCAATGGAACTAAGTAATGGAACTATTAGGAATACAACTAGGATTATATATGGTAAAGTCTTTGAAAAAACTAGATTCTGATAGAATTCGTGAGGCCCATCTCGCTTACCAAAAGCTTTCTAAAATGGCCAGAAAGAAAAATAAATTAGTAAAGTAAAAACAACATGTTGCAGAAATGTTAATTTGAGATGATTATCGTCCAAGAAATTATTAAAATGATTTTTTATAGATTATTAGTATTTATTTATTTTTTTTTCAGTTTTTCTCAAATTTTTTTAATATTTAAAAAAATTTCTTTTTTTAGCTTTTAGTACACTTTTCTTGAAAACTTTTCAACCTGGAAGGCTCAAATTTTCCCAGTTGTTTATCTTAATTTCTTTGAAACTGTGCAGGATATAAAATATGCGATTATTAGTATTAAATATATTAAAAATTTAATACTCTTTTATGATTTCAAAATATTTTACTAATTTATTTTTACTATTTGTTCTTTTTAAGTAAAATAAAAAACACTGTCAATTATTCTTAAATGATATGTTTTAACTATCATGCAACATTTGAAGAAATTTGATGCTGTATTTTTTGTAGAAAAGTGCACCAAACTAGCACATTATTACAAGAGATTTGTCAAAGGCAAGTGAAATTAAACGGGTTTTAAAAACATTAGGCATTTCATTTTTATTTTATGTGTTTTGTATAATCTACAATATGACTTTTTTAAATGAAAAAAAGAAATTAGAGTATAAGTTTATGTTGAGAAAAGTTATACTCTGATAACATTGTTGAATTTCGCCAGTCGAGATGTTATCGTTATTAGACAGAAAGCTCCTCCTATTTTTATTTGTAGAATTCGGCTAGAAAGGGGGGGGGAATTGGAGTATATGAACACAACAGTTTCTTTACTCAGAACTATTTATCCTCTACTGCCACCAGTTCTATTTACTAAATTATGGCAAATTCATTTGTAATTTGCTAAATTTCTCTTTTGTTTACATTCTTCGAAAATGTTCCACTCAACATACTCCACGAAGAAGGTCAACCATCTGTAAAGGAAGACCCCCTGCCTTTTCAAGAAAGTCAAGCTATTACGCAGACAGCTGCGCATATTTAAGAGAACGCCGAATAACTAGAATCAATTTGAGAATTCAGTTATATCGTCTGAAACGAGAAAAGAAAGGAAAAAAAAAAAAAAAAAAAAAGGAAGAGACGGAAGCCATAGCAACGGCAAAACACTACGACTTCGACGGCGAGTGACGTAGGCGCGCGTGGAGATCAACAACTGCTGTGGCTGTGTCAATGTAACCAGA